TAGACGCGGCTCAGAAGGGAAATCTGTCTGTAGGTCTTCAAGCGTTGTCACCTTTCTTGAAGAACAAGACCGCCGCACTTCTGCTCCACGCCTCCGGTGTAATGCCACCATTGAGGACAGAATTAAAGAGCTTCTGTAGGACTTCAAGTACCAGTTTTCCACCCGCTTTCAGAAGCTCCGCTGTAATTCCATTCTCGCCTGGGGCCTTGCCGTTTTCAAGGTGCTGGAGAGCCATTCTTATCTTGCTCAGACTGACGTCCGAGATATCTTCGGAATAGTGTCGGTTAAGACTCGCTCTTGGTTTGTTACTCACACTTACGTGTAGCTCCAACGATGATGTGTACAGCTGCCCATAGAACCTCTCAATCTCACTCAAAATCTCAGGTGTCCCGGAAACGACGCTGCCAAACTCGGTCTTCAGCTTCGACAGTTGGCTCTTTCTGGCAGACAGATCTCTAGCAAAGACTTTGGAGCCCTGGTTCCGCTCGATCGCATCTTCAATACGAGCAGTATTAAAGTTGCGTTAGTCCCGCCGCATGCATTTCGAGATCTGTCTGTTCAGTTGCCTGTATGCTGTCAAATCTACTAAATACTGCAGCTTCATATCCCGTCTAATAGACATGAGATTAAGAGTGTGGTCTGAGAGTTTTTGTGTTCTTCTACGGTGAGTCTTACAAAACTTAGCTCCGACCGCATGGACAGTTTCCACGAGCTTGTCATTCATATCGTCCACTGCATTGCAATCTTCTAGGCACTGAAAACGGTTTCGTAGCTCGAGCTGAAAGATTTCGGGACTTTGGATTAGAGCACGAGGGGGACGGAGCGTTGACTTCATTAGACGTTACCTCTCCAACTTAACGTTTAGGTTCAGTGTACCTCTCACCATTCGGTGATCGCTGCCGGTTTTCACCCTCGCGATCACTGAGACATCACTGAACAGTTGTCCTCTGGTCGTCATAATGAAGTCAATCTCGTTTTTGTCGAACCGTCGGGGCTCGACCAGGTCCACTTCCTGTGAGGCCGCTTCTGGAAGAAAGAGTTCATCATAAAGAGTCCCTCTTTCTCCATGAATTCGGCCAGCTGCTGGCCCCTTGGGTTCCGTTGCCCTATTCCGAATTTCCCTACTTTCAGCTCACCGTTCTCTCTTGTGCCTAGTTTTGCGTTGAAGTCTCCCATTAACACCGTATAGTGGGTTTTGGAGGAATGCATGGCTCTAGAGATATCCTCATACATTTCCTCCACCTCCTCATCGGGGTGTGCCGAGGTTGGCGCGTAAACCTGTATGACCTTCAGCGAATACCGTTTGGTGATTCTGAGTATAAGGTACGCAACCCTCGTCGACACACTCCCAATCTTTACAACGTTGTTAACGAGAGACTTATGGACGATAAATCCGACACCTCCTTGGGACAGATGGTCGCCCTCCCGGTGATAGAACAAGTTGCCGGATTCGAGGATTACCGTGTCCTCCCCCTCTCTTCGGACCTCGGATAATCCTATGATATTCCAGCGCAACTTGTCTATCTCTTCTTCCAGCTCCAGGATCTTCTCGTCAGTCATCAGGGTGCGTGCGTTATACGTTGCCAGGTCGACTCGTCGTAAGTGGCAACCGAACCTCCACCGGAGATTCTTAGCAACCCCTGACCCGCCGTTACCATGGTCGCCACCGTAGCCAGGAATAGCGGGGCTGCCGGGGACTGGAGGTCGTCTTTTTGTAATTTTTATCATGGGGGGTATATTGCTCACACCCACGGGAAGATATGGGGTAGTGAGTATTCTTACCCACCACTACACGGGGTGCACAGTGCTATGTATCAATAATATATCCCACTATCTCACAGAATACCACCGTAAAATATCCACATAATGCTCTGTTTTATATGGTGAATGTAGAGAACAGGAGACCGTTTTTACTGCAAATGAGGCATTACGTCTTCGTCCTCTAGGGTGACAACACATTTATATTTTGATTCTTCATCGAGGATAGATCTATTTGTCATATACCCTTATTCTATATAAAAAAACAAGTTTCAGTTAAAGTTAACTACTGAGTTACTGCCTTTGTGTTCCATGGCACAGGACTCCTTTCATTTCTAAGACGTCTATGTAGCAATTTGTGTGCCGTGTTACTTCGGTGCACTTCTGAAAACTCCCACCATTCCACCTATCACTACCAATCAAGCATCACTGGTAAATGGATTTCTTACGATTATCCCTAATATATGTAACTCTGACGCGTTATTTTGGTACTTAGTGAGAACTTCGTACGCGCTAATCCCCCGTTGTTTTTAACTGTCATACACGACAAGATTATCAAAATCAGCCTCGAAATATTTTCCGTGTTGATTGGAAATTTCTCAAGTCTGATGAAATATAATAATATACGTTGACAGGTATCTATCTAGACTAGTGGACACACAAGATTATCAACTTGTTTTGTTAACAATCATTATTAATCTGAGACCAACACGGCCACCTCGCGCAACCATGTTGCTCTTAGCAATTATTAAATAGATTCACAAAAGTACTTGTGCATAGACAAAAGCATAGCACCTGTCTCAGCCTAAGCCGCAGCCGCAGTGATTGTAGAAACATATTATGTTTTAAGTATTTTCTTGAATCAGTCATGCTTAACTATTATAAGGAAACAATACATGTGTCGTGTCTAAATCAGTTTTCAAAACATGTTATAGAATACAGATTATTACATTAGTTTCCACTGATTCCATTAAAACCCTTGAATACCGGAAGAACTTCTTTTATAAAAAGGTTGGGGCTGTGAAGTGGTCCTATTTTTGAAAGCTATCATTACTATCCCCAAAAATACACCTTATATTAGTATTTTTACTTTAGTATTTTTTTACGCAATAAATAGCTATTTTTTATACTTAACAGAGTGTTAGACAAGATTCTTTATTGAACAAACCTAATTCTACAGATTTTATCGCGTTTAATTTTAACTTATTTTTAATCCCGCCATACCAAAAGGAAGGCACCCGAAACTTCTGAAATTAAGAAAAGTAAAATTAAACAATATAAAATTCATAAAATTAGCTGCATTTACAATAAATAGTGCTTCAAATGTTCCGCAAACAATAAGCAATTCATTTTCATAACACTTTTTCATCATAAAGTCCATCGAGTAATGAAATCATACAGCTGTGACATAAAAGTCTACATATTTCACGTTAATGGAGCTACACGTTTTTATGAAAAAGTAGCTTCCTTTATTCCTTCTACAATAATTTCCAAGTTCTCCAAAATTCTGTTAATATTGCTAATGCCAACATAAACGCGAGATTTAATAAATTTTACAGGTTGTAATTTAGACATGTAATATTACGTTAGTTTTTATTTTTAAACTTAATAGCCCTATAAAATACTCATTAATCATTTTCAATAAGATTTCATTTGGGATATAAAGAAAAGTAATTAAATGCCATCAAAAACATAACTTGTAAAAAAACCAAGTCTCGCAACTCAGTTCTTCTACCGCAAAAAGTTATGTTTTTGATGGCATCTCATTTCTTTTTGTAGATAGTTTTATCTAGTTACCAATCTACACCTATTATTCCATTATATTACACATTAGGTACACCGATTCATTCACTGCAAATGTAACTTTGTAATCCTATATATTTATATGGGATTACAAAGTTATTTATGCAGTTGGTATATCTCGAAAGCTGGACCGAAACTGCAAGATATTTTAATTTTTCCTTGATTTATGTACTAAACAATAGTCGTATTCCAAATTTGAAGCTTTTATGTCTGCTAGAAGTGCCTTAGAGCTTTGATGATCTGTCAGTCAGTGAGTGACAAAATTAAGAAACTTTGACTAGTTATAATTCTTAAACTACTGATTCAAATTTAATAAAATTTGAAACATATTGAGACTATACAATGCCTACTTGGTTACACACAACTTATCCTCAACGAAGTTATAGGGTTTCGAAAATGGCCTGAACTGCTTCAAGAAAAGGATGTTACGGCCGTGCCGCTTTTTTGCTCGACTTGGCGGGGGCACTGCCGTGCCTCCAGATGAACAAAGCGGCACACTATAACATGTTCAGTATACTACACAACATGGGATTCGCATACACCACCCAAGCTCTTCAATTTCAACCTTTTCCTAGTCTACTTTCATAATAATAATAATAAAATATTTATAAAAATAAGTAATATGGTGAGAATGTCAATATAATGTTATATTCTGTTCACATTGTCACCAGATTACTTTCCTGTCTTTTCATTTTATTTACCGTTTATTAAGGTATCATGAGTAGTAGAAGTTTCCGCTTAACTGCTGAGTAAAATAAAATACTGCGGTAGCCAACACGCTTACCAAGCAACTATGGCAAATATCCCTTGAAACGTCCCTCCCTATGAGGCAATCTATGGGGGAGGCCTGTGTTGAGCAGTAGACTTGTAATGAAGATAATGATGAAGCCTCCTGTGAATGACTGGATAGATTACCATGCCCCTCCTATATTGCTATATAGATTGCTATGCAGCAAAAAGGTGGTATTAAAAAGCGTAAGAATTAGAATAGCGCGTACCTATCAGGGTGGTCTGAAAAGTTTCCAACCTCAACGTGAAGATGGCAGCACTAGTCAATAAAAGTTGGTGAATGTAGTTGTGCATCTTTTGAAAGTTACGCACCTAAATTTTAGCCATTTTGAACGCGTAGTTGTTATTTAACAGTCGTTTGAGAGAGTCGATGTGAGTGTTTTTGTGAAAATGGAAAAACGTGAGTAGGTTTTTGTTTTTGAAAGGCAATACGCCTACGCAAATCAAAGGTGAGTCCTCTATGTATGGGGACTCTGCACCATCATTTACCTTAGTGAAATTTTGGGCAGCTGAATTTAATCGTGGCCGTGAGAGCTTGGGAGACGATGAACGTTCGGGAGGTCCAAAAACTGCAACTACTGATGATAACATCGCTTTAGATCACCAAAAGGTGCTAGACGACCGCCGAATTAAACTGAGAGAGATAGCAGAGACTATAAAAATGTCCAAAGAACGTGTTTATCACATATTAAATCAAGATTCAGGCATGAGAAAGCTGTCAGTGCGTTGGATGCCGCGTTTGCTCACATTAGACCAAAAACGTGTTCGAATGAACATTTGCAACGCTCTGTTAGCGCAGGTTAGGCGCAATAAATCCGAGTTTTTGCGCTAATTATTTTATTTTATTTTTTTTATAGGAGAGGGGGCAAACGAGCATGCGGCTCACCTGATGGTAATTGACTACCGCCGCACATGAACAACCGCAACACCAGGGGAATTGCAGATGCGTTGCCGGCCTTTTAAAAAGGAGTACGCTCTTTTCTTGAAGGTCCCTAAGTCGTATCGGTCCGGAAAAATCGCTGATGGTAATCGATTCCACAAGGAAGTCGTGCGAGGAAGAAAACATCTTCTAAATCGCACAGTGGTGGACCGCCAATCATCCAGATGATGTGGATGGTGTCGGGAGTTCTGCCGCGATGTGCGTTCATGAAATTTGGCGGCTGGGATTAATCCGAACAATTCCTCAGAGCACTCCCCATGGTAGATGCGAAAGAAAATGCAAAGAGATGCAACATCTCTTCGCAGTGCCAATGAATCGAGCCGATTGGAAAGGGCTCGGTCGTCGACGATTCGAGCCGCTCTGCGCTGGATGCGGTCAAGTGGAAGGAGCTGGCACTGGGCAGCCCCTGCCCAGAGATGGGAACAGTATTCCATGTGAGGCCGAACCTGCGCCTTGTAAAGTTGCAGGCGGTGTGCCGGCATGAAATACTGTCCCGCTCTGCTGAGCACGCCAAGCTTTTTAGAGGCCAATTTGGCCTTCTCTTCCAAGTGACCACGAAACTGCACGTCACTCGATATGTCGACCCTGAGGATACCGATACTGGCTGAGGCAAGAAGGGGAGTGCCTTGAAACTGAGGAGATACGACAAAGGGGTTCTTTTTAGCGGTAAACGCGCAATATAATTACTGTAGATGAAACTTGGACACACCATTAAACGCCTGATACAAAAATACAGTAAAAACAGTGGACTGCAAAGGGGGAACCGGCTCCAAAAATAGGAAAAACTGTTTTTTCGGCTGGGAAAGTGATGGCGACTGTCTTTTGGGATATTCCTGGAGTTATCTCAATTAATTCTCTTGAAAAAGGAAAAACCATTACAGGATCATTACTTGACAAACTGAAGGCAGAAATTGCGGAAAAGCGACCACATTTGCAGAAAAAGAAAATCTTGTTTCACCATGACAACGCACCGTCTCACACTTCAGTGGTTGCAACAGCGAAAATCCACGAATTACTGTTTGAACTGCTTGACCATCCACCTTACTCACCAGATCTAGCCCCAAGCGACTTCTTTTTGTTGCCTCATCTAAAAATATAAAATAAAATAAAATAAAAAGTGTTTGTTCTAATACTAATAAGTATAATATAATATAATCTAATGAAAATAAGTATAAATAAGTATGTAATATTTTTTAGATTAAGTATTAATAAAATTAAAATAAAATGATGCTTTCAGAACCTGCTTATATGTCTTGTCCATTTCCATTTGAGCTTCGATTTCTCTGTATCACATCTGTTATTTGACTTTTTTCTGTGATGTTTTATTGCTAATTTCGCTAGTCAAATTACTTTTGTGTGTATAATATATGTGAGTGTATACTCCCTTGGTAAATAAATTTCTTAAACCTCATTTTTTATCTTGGTTAAAATTCTGAAGCTCGAAAGTATTCTAATAAACGAAAACTTCATTTTGCATAATAAGAGAAAAGTCTTTGAAATGGATATTCTACATGCCTTAACTAATGATTGTCAAACATGAACTAACCGTAAAGGAAAGTCAAATCAAACAAAATAGAAAAAGTAATTTGACTAGCGAACAAAATTAGCAATAAATAATCAGGGAAAAAAGTCAAATAACAGATGTGATACAGAGAAATCTAAACAAAAATGGAAATGGGCAAAACGTATTAAGCAGATTCTGAGAGTATCATTTTTAATTTATTTTATTAATACTTACTCTAAAAATGTTTACTTATTTATTTATACTTATTTTCATTAAGTATTAGAACAAAAGCTTTTTATTTTATTTCATTTTATATTTTTATGTTGATAACAGTAGATTAAATTACCCATTATTATCATAGTTAAAAACTAAGAAAGACATTGACATCCCGTAAAAATGTAACGTTGGAATCCGTGTCGGGGACTTTGTTGCGTGTAGAGAGAATGCGTCTAGTAAAAATAAGTTGAAAATTACCGCAAATTATATGAGATAAATCACCTTGGGAGTAACGTATGACTACCAAAGAACCTTTTTGGTTCTATTATTAAACGATAAACGTAAAACAAAGCGAAACACATAATATTATATTATATACTAGAGGCTTTGTACTAAATAAGTTATTAACCATCAACCGAAATTTCCTTCCGTAACAATTAATACGAGTACAGTTGACATAATAGGATCGAATTGTATGCTATTTTATAATTGCTTATTAACTAATGAACCTCTGACGTGCAAAATGATGGCGGAAAATCCATCCAATATGCTAACACAAAACCTACAAATTCATAAAGAAAAACAATATACAGTAGGATTCCGTTGAGGTGGCTTCGTATGAGGAATATCTAAAAATAATAATATAATTTGTTTTTGTAAATTGTTTGTAAATGGTTGGTCCGTCTGTTAGTGATCGTGTAACTTTCAAACTGGGATTTAATTCTTCATTACACCATATTTTTTGTCGAAACGATGGTTCACAGCTATGCTTGGACCCGATAGGTACTGTAGTCATTTTATTTACAAATTCTATGAAATAATCTCAGCACATTGCTTGGAACCCGTCTAGTAGCGGCAATTTGTTAACCTTATCAATGCCCCAGTGCTAGTGTTTTCTCGCTCAAAGGTTAAGTATGGCCACTCAGCGAGGAAACGCAGTCAGCGTTCTTGGCGCCACACCACAGGTACAGGTGTATATACTGATAATCTTAACTTTTTAGTTATAGTTTTTCTTTTTTATAGTTTTTTCTAATATAGTATGTAACCTTTAGATTTAATTTATTAATTGTATATTGTTTTAAATTATGTATACCTATATATATCTTTTTCAAAAAACTACAAAATATTTTTAATATATCCATCCACGTTGCAATCCCTATACAATTCTTCCATCCATATAGGTAATAATTATAATTAATTATTCTATTTTGGTTATTATATGAGATAATATTATATTCATTAGGCCCGTTTATTTTTCATCGTTGGTTGCATCTCCTACAGTAGTATTGCTATGCGAATTATAATAATGCTAGGCGAATTTTTTAACTTTTGCTTAAAGCTTCGAAAACGAAGATGAGAACCGGAGCCCCTTTTTATAGGCAACGAGGCATTCTATATTAGTCCTCAGGGCTCAGGGGTGACAACGCATCTAGATTTGTGAACTGTGATGTGTTTGAACATAAGAGACGTGCTCGTTTGTCATATATTTTATAAAAAATGTAGCGTGGTGGCGGTGTAAAACAATCCAGCACCCAAATTCGTTCTGTGGTAAATAGAATTGTAAATACCAAGACCTTATGGCTTCCAGTAGATGGCAAGATCACCATCTCATTCAAATCAAGCTTAAAGTACCCAGACTGGCGACGGCATGCAGCGTCAAAGGTGAATAACGGTTGATTCTGTGATCGTAAACCCGCCTGACAAGACAAACAAAACGGTATAGTTGTAGCACGAATGGGTCGGCTCGACCGAGGAAGGACCACGCCCTCACAGAATACCAGCGTAAAATAGCAGCTTAACGTTGTTGTGTTTCGTATGGTGAGTGTAGAGAACTGGAGACCCTTTTTACCGAAAACGAGGCATTTCATCTCAGTCCTCACGGGTAACAACGCATCTGCATTTTGATTCGTAACCGAGGATAGATGTAAATATCTATGGGTCACAACAACCACTTATCATCAGGTGGACTGTGTGCTCGTTTGTCACCATTATCCTATATAAAAAAGGAGAAGTTTACGGCCTCATGAAGAAGACGACTCTTCGAGGGGAGGGTCAAGAGTACTCGGATACCTAGACGTGCATGTATGAAGAAGATAATGAATCTGAAAGAAGCGAAAGAGGTAAGTAAGGATCGTGACACTTGGCGATCTGTTCTCTCTGGCTACCCCGTCAGGGATTGTGCGTGAAGATAAGTAAGAAGACGAAGAAGCTTCTAATTCCTATAGTTTTCATAATAAAAGATCAATAACTATTCATGTCTAGAAGCATTATAATTGAACTCAGGTAATATCTATAGGTAACATTGCAGCACATCGTTCTTTCGATCACTGACTTACCGTAAGTGCCTTATGTTTGCACGCGTACTCTTGTACGCTAACACAAAGCACTTACGGCTTCTCTAAAATAATGTAAAGTTGAAAACTTTCTACAGTCATTTGATATACATATATACATTACATATTGGAGTAAATCATTAATGAAAAAAAAAAGATACGCTGCAAAATGAAACTGCTGTTTTCGAATATAAAAGGATTCGTACTAAAAGAAGTACAATGAAAAGCATTTTAGATGATTGTGACAGGACACATTACAGGTCGTCAAACCTTTTTCGTCACGTACATGTACTGTGAAAAAAAAAGTCAAGGCAAGAGTGAATTTAGGCTTTTGTTAAAGTTAAAGACAAAATATTTTTATTCAAAATTGACTTTTACAAAGCAGTTTTTAAAAGTCAAGAAAGCTGTTCATATTCTAAGTTAAGTCAGTGTGCTTTACCATCTTAAGCAGCACACTATTTACTATCAGGTGGTATAACAATCAAGCACTGGCTCATAATAGCAAAAAGGATGCCGTTGATTTTAGCCGATATTTCAAAAACTCTAAAGTCGTCGAGTTAAGTGTATGTATAAAAAACCTCCTTGTAACTCATGCGATCTTAGTATTTACAGAATTTTTGAATAATTTCTTTGTTCTGCGATATTTAAAAATGTTTTAGATATTTAAACTACACCAGGAGATGTTTAGCAGCACCTTACTGATAACAACTGAATAAAAATTATAAAACTGCGGTTGCCAACCCACTTGTTCAGCGTAACAACAATGGCAAATATTTTCTCCCTATAAGGTAATCTATGGATAATTAAAAAT